TGGTGATTATGTAAAAATATATTTATGGCTCTCGAATAATTTTTAAATTGTTGTGAGGGACAGGATTGGCTCTTCCAGGGATCGGCAAACTTTTGAGATAGAACGTACCCAAAGAGCCGCATGTGGCTTGCAAGCCGCAGTTTGCCAACCCCTGAACTAGAACATTAACAGTTTACTCTCCTTCCCCTTATCCCATGCCATTGCTTTCTCCTAGAATTAACTGCCGTATTAAATTTTATCATTCACTTTCTTTTAAAAAGTTGTGCTATAAAAACGAATGAAATACTGATACATGCTACAACATAGATGAACCTTGAAAACATTATGCTAAATGAAAGAAGCCAGACACAAAAGGCCACAAATTGTATGATTCCATTTATATGAACAGACAGAATAGGCAAATCTATATAGACAGAAAGTAGATTAGTGATTGTTTAGGGATTGGGCGGGGAAGAGAGCAATGAGCAGATTGGAGGGGTGATAGCTAAAGACTACAGAGCTTTTTTGGGAGGTGATGAAAAAGTTCCAAAATTGACTGTGGTGATGGCTTCACAACAATATCAGTGTAGTAAATGTCACTGTTGTACACTTTGAATACGTTAATTTTATGTCATGTGAATTTTACCTTAAAGGAAAGTTTTATGTGTGAATGTGTACATAAATGATAGATGTAGTTACATGAGTTTTTGAGCTTTGTATTAATAGTATTTTCTATGTTGTCTTTTGAAGTTTGCTGTTTTCAATTAAAATATATATTTAATATTTTTCCATATAGTTGCATGTAGTTGTAGAAAACCGATTTTTACTTATGAATAATATTCTGTTATTTAAATATGCCAAAACTTTATTATCTGGTTTCCTGATGATGGGCTTTAGGGATGTTGACAGATTTTTGCTATTATAAACAGTGCTATGAATCTTTTTGTACATATATTTTAACATGTACTTGTACGTGTAAGCATTTCTAGGGCATTTACTTAGGAGTGGGTTTGTTAAATGAGGGGAGATGCAAGTCTTCACATTTTCAAATAATGCCAAGTCATTATCCAGAGTGCTTGTTAGGTAGTCATAATTATTATTCCCATTTTACAGATTAAATTGCAGCACGTCATCCAAAGTATGTACCAGAACTAGAATTCATTTTGTAAGTTTTTACAAGATAGTTGCTGTTATATTTAGTTTTTAAGAAAGACATTCTCAAAGATTAATAATTTCCTCTCACTGAATAATAATTTTCTAGAATATCCTTAAAATATGACTACTTTATGTTCTTATAGCATAATGGATAAGACTATGCCCTCTGGAGTAAGGTTGTAAGAGTTTGAATTACAGCTTTGCGCTTTATGAACTCTCTTAACATTAGACAAATTATTTATCCTTACTGTGCCTCAGTTTTCACATCTTTTAAACAGAGCCATGTAAATATTACGAGATAATGGACTCAAAAGACTTAGTGTAGCCTGTAACAGCAAATATTCAGTAAATTATTATTATCACAAAGAAGGGAAAGGAAGCACCTAGAGGGTTTCTTTTATTTCTAGTCCTACTACTATAATTTCTTTAACTTGTGTACATGTATATAATATCAATAACTAAATCATTTAATAATACACTATGTAAAATGAAATAATATGGTAACTTTGTATTTTTTCAGCTAACAGACAAATTTGAAGTTTATTTGCAGATAAACTTTACTTTTTCCACACATATACATGCATACTCTTTAGGTTTTACTTCTTAAAAAATTAAATCAAAAAAGAAAAGAAAATTAAAGGTCGAATTAACTAGAGGTTGCCAGGATATACTCAGAAATAGTGTTATCAAAGAATGGACTAATGCATATTTTATTGTTTTGAAGAGTCCTGTGGCCATAGCATGTGGGGCTGCTAATTTAAAATCACTGACCAAGTAGACTTGGGCCAGATATTTACCTAGGAATTGCTTGTTAGGAATAAAACTACTCATTAGTAAAGGTTTCATTTTTTAGTTTGATGCTTTACCAATAATGTTTCATTTTTATTACCTTGAAAGCAAACTTTATACTGTTATCGATAATTTCTTCATTAGTTATTATTTAGAGCAGTGCTAGCCCACCAGAATTTTCTGTGATTATGGATATGTTTATAGTTTTACTATCCAGTACTGTAGCCACTAGCCACATGTGGCTTTGAGCACTTGAAATGTGGCTAGTGCAACCAAGGACTGAAATTTTATTTTTATATAATTTTAATTTATTCATATATGAATTTAAATAGCCACATATCACTGATGGCTACTATATTGGAGTGCGCAGGTTTAGAGCACAGCAGTAAGTTTTTCAGTGTAAAATGAGTATTAAATGAGTGACTATTATTCCAAATGTTATCTTTAATATGATTTCTCAAGAATTTTGTTTTATTATTGTTATTTAATATCTCATTGTAGATAGCAAAATTTTTCATAAATTTTGTCTTAAATTTGTAGTCAAGTAAATTGAGGGTAAGTTACTTCATTTCTTTAGCCTCATTTTGATTCTTTATACATAAAATGGGGATTATTGTGCCTATTTTGTAAGGTTGTTGGAAGGTTTAAATGGCATAATAAACGAGAAGTTCTTTGCATAGATTCTGGCATCGTATAATAAATGCTCTATTAATCTTATTTTCACTATTATTATTATACTATTCTAATAATAGTTGCTTTTTTTCTCTAATGTTCCTTTTTACTTAAAATGTTTTTCTTTTCTTTTTAGCAACTGATCTGGTGCTGAGAAAGGTTATCAATTTTTCCGACTGTACAGTTTGTCTTGATAAACGAAATGCTAGTGGTAAAATAGAATTTTACCAGGATCCTTTATTGTACAAATGTTCCTTCAGAACTCGTCTTCATTTTACATATGATAACCTAAATTCCAAGATGCCATCTGTTATTAAAGTAGGTGTTTCATTTTCTAGTTGTTGAGTTGCATATCTTATTTTGTTTATTGGCTCTTGTGCATGCTAATTATTATTTAAAAAACAAGAAATTAACCATATATATATATATATATATATATACCATTTGTTTTTGTAAAAAAAGTTTTATTTATAACTTCTATGTTATGTTGTTTACTATGTTATATGTTATATTTGCAACTTCTTGTATTATGTGTTCCAGTAGAGATATTTTGGGATCCTTTTTTTCCCTGTGACCATAGTTTCCTGTTTAGTCTGTGCAGCCGTTTAAGAGAAAAATACTAATGTAAAAAAGTGTATTTATGCTCACAGTGGACTGCATATCTATCTATATTAGGTCTATATTTCACTCCTTATAATTTGTTTAGCATGATTTGATAACTGTAGTCTCCTCTCTTTCTTTGATAACTTTATAAGGCTTGATTTGCTAACCTGATATTTTAGTTTATTGGTTCAGGAAATTTTAACTTTTGATCTATGGTTTCAAAATGTAATTAAAATCTTAGAGTATGTGCATTTTTCAGGTAATGTCTTTTGACACATGTGAAAATGTTTTGTTCTCCAAGGAATTGATATGATTTTTCAATGTGTATAGTTAGTCTGTAAGTATAAATCTTGTGATCTTTCATTACATAACAGTTTTCTAAACCTTCATCCATTTGTCTATCTTTGAAAAAGACTTCACACAGTGAGTTGTGATTTTGTTAACTAAGTTTTTTTTTTTAATAAATATTTTATTGGGGAATTGGCTAAGGGGAACAGTGCTGGGGAATCGGGGAAAGGGGAACAGACAAGTTGCTGTCNCTCCAGGTTGAGCTGTTGTTCAGCATCTTAGCTGTGGAGGGCAGTGTCACTGGCCCTCATATGTGGGATCTGAACTGGGGCCCTCTGACGTCCCAAGCCACTTCTTAACCAACGTGCCACTCGGCCAGCCCTCAGTTAAAATTTTAAAAGGTTTTGAAGGAGGAAAGGGAGTATGTTGTTTTTACATAGCATGTTTTAGGTTTGTATATTCCAGAGCACATTTGGGATTTTTGGATAATCCTGAAGCCTTCTTTAACTATTATGTGCTGTATTTTCCCATTGCTTATCTTCAAAGAACTAAATAATAATGTAATTTTGATCACTGCCATTTATTTATTACTCTTTTAATTTGTTCTGCATGGCAGGCACTGTGCTAAACATTGAAACTATAGCTGTGAAGAACATAGACACTGTTTCTTCTTAGTTTTGTCAGGAGAGAGATTAATTAAACAAGTAATAACATTTGTTGACATATGTTCTGATAGGACAAGAAATGGATATTTTTGGAAAATATAGTAAGGAGACTATTGTGAGCACCTTTTATCTGTGACTTGCTATGGTAGATATTTGTTAAAAGTGCCGGCAGTAGAGTCAGACTGCCTGAGTTTGAATCCTGGCCCTCCCACATAGCCTTAGATGTATGACCTGGGGTGAGTTACTTTACTTCTCTGCTTTTCAGTTTCTTAATTTGTAAAATGGGGACAAAAAGGAATTTCTTATAGAATTATTTTATGAAGTACATTTTATGAAAAGGACTTATAAAAGTGTCCTATACATAGTCATTGCTCAGAAAGGAGCTTCTTTTATTATTATTATTTACAGTCATTTTCTCTAATTGTCATAACAACTCCACAAAGTGGTGATATCCTTTCTTATTCATTTAGTCATATATTCATTTACTCATCTTAAGTCCTAATTAAAGCAAAGTGAAATTGAGTCTCAAGATTATTTTACTTGTGTAGTTAAGGCATACAACTAGGAAGTAGCAGAATTGGAATACAGTTTCATTTTGTGTGTTCTCCAAGCCTCAGTCTTCATATTTTAGAAATGGAGAATAATCCGGACTTCACAGCTCTGTTATGAAGCATAAAGAAGAGTATATGCAAATGCCCAAATCTTTGATTTCTGGGACATTGTTAATGCCTGTCGTCCTCTGTGGAAAGAAATATTCAATAAAAAGGCCAAAAGAAAAAGCTATGGAAAATAGGAAGAAAACAAACAGAACTGGATATTGTGGGATTGAGTAAATGAGCTGACATTTTAGGGGAAGAAATTTCATTTATAGTTTTAATATAGAGGTAATACAGATATTACTTTGAGAAATTCTATACAGTGAATTGGAAAAAGAGTTCTGTATCAGGAGTTAGGGGATCTTGGTGCAAATCTTCCCTCCACCACTAACCTAGTGGAACCTTGGGGGAGTCATTCCTAAAATGTGAATTATCATTACTGCCAACCTACCAAGTTATTTATGAGAATTAAGTGTGATACCACATGAAAGCCCATGATGATGGTGGTGATAAAGACAGCAAAAATTATATCTTCCATTTATTGAGTACTTGTTAACTGCTGGGCTGGTGCTGGGTTTTACATTAATTATCTTGTTTTAATCCTTAAACCTTCTGAAGAAACTATTATTTCCCCTTTTATTAATTTTTAATAGAATATTTCATATTTACAAAGGGATTCATGTAACATATAATTGTTATAAAACAATATAATGAGTATGTACCCTCCGAGTAACTAGAACATGGGTTGGCAAACTTTTGAGATGGAAGAGCCTCCAGGGGTCAGCAAACTGTGGCTCGTGAGCCGCAGGCTCTGAAGTAAAATTGAAAATGAAAATAAAACTATCGTAGTTTCATGTATAAATTTTTTAAAGGATATTATTCACATAATGGTGATTATGTAAAAATATATTTATGGCTCTCGAATAATTTTTAAATTGTTGT